GGGAGAGGGACCAGCAGCACCAACCAAATGCAACAGCAGCGCGTGGAAAGGGAAGCTTACGTAGATGAAAGGGGATAAAATGGGGGATGCCATGGGTAACTGATTAAATGTATTTGAGGAGGGAATAGAGTATGACAGTTAGGTGTGAGTTCTGGCATTAGCTAGATTTGAGATCGATCCCATTCTGCCTCTCACTGTTTAACACCAGGCAAGGGACTTGAAAGCCTCGTGCTTTGGACTCTCCTCTGTGAAATGGGGATGGCAGTGCTTTCTCAGTGCTCTCTGTTATTGCAGGTGGTGACAGGATCATGGGATATACCCACAAGTTCCCACCAGAAATACCCACAGGGCTAGTCCTGCGTGAGTTGGCAGGGCAAGAGCCAGTGACACAACAGCCACACGAGTCAGCCTCTTGAGCACAAGCAGAAACAGGGAGAAAGCAAAGTGGGACTTATTGAGCTATTGCTCATTTATTTCACTTCAGTTCCATACATATCATTTCCATAGGTAAAAACTACTATAATTCCTGCCGCAGGAAAATTTTAGGATATTGAGCATTCACCATTGTGGGCTAAGTACATACTATGAAGTGCCGTAGATCAGGGATCTCGAAGTAGATACATCTGACTCCTAACTCAGACGCAAATTCAGAGCCAGCGGGAGGAAGAAGAAGGAGTCATGGATAACCATTAGCTTTCTGGTTGTGTGGCTAGGAGTCCCTTAAAGATAAGACATTCAAGAGGGGTGACAGGGTTGGAGGTGATGCCCAGCACACTGAGTATAGGACGACAGTTTCCAAATAGAGGGGAGGGAGGGTGGAGGAAGGTGCTAAATGTACATTATCTCATTTAAATACTATGCCATCCTTGGGAAGGAAGGATCGTTCTCACTATATGATGGTCAGAGGGACTGAGGTTCAGAGAAATTTAGTAACTTGCCCAAAGTCACACAGGCACTGAGATTTGAACCCAGGACCATCCTTCACCAGCTTTTCTCACTAAGCCAGGATGCCTCAATTCAGGAGAGAGAAAACTTAGTATTCCTCATTGCCGGATAGTTCTGATTGCTATTTCTTTCTCATCTATTTCATATTATGATAATGTTTTCCTGGAATTGGATGATATAATACTAGAAATTGAAGATGTTTATTCGCTACAAAGATTACATATGCAGGCTTCCTGTCATAATCAAGGGACGTTGCTCACATCATTTATGATTTCCAGTCTTCTCTGTATATGATAATGCTTATTTTAGGAAATCTGTTTTTACTAAGCCTGCTGATCTTCAAGAGGAAAACAGGCAGAGGCAGGACGGTGATAGACCCTCTTGATATTTATCTTAAGGAGTCTATCTTAAATTAGTTTGCTGGGAAGCACTGCATGTGATGAATGCTATAGAGTTTAAATGATACTGTGGATGCTCTCATAATAAAGCAAATGACTCTAATAAAACTATTTTGTTTCATTTCTTCATACAAAATTCATGTCTGAATTTCATCTAGGTCCTAAAATTTTAAATTTCCATAAGTTTTATGCACTATTAAATTTTATCACCACTGCATTATGCTTTTGAAACTGATTGTACAATCTAATTAATTCAGAATATTAACTACAATTTCCATAAAATGAATAGGATGATGTTGATCGGGGTGAGATGGAGGGCTGTGATCATCTCTTCCCCTTGCCCCAGGACCTCAATTATATGTACACTAAAAACCGCTTCTTTCGACGTCCCTCATCCAGTAACTTCAATTTGGAGGAACACAGCCAAAACCGAAAGTTAATTTAAAATGTCTCCAGATAGACAAAATAGCTATTTTAAAGACTTGTACTTCATTCCTAGGCAAAACTTTCTGACCCTCTATCAAAAGTTAGAGCTCCCTTTTTTTTTTTCGCTTTTTTTTAGGCGGAATATTCATGAGTCATGTGACTTCTAAATCCAAAACAGACTACATATCAAATTAAAAGGATAATGGGGGTAAAGTAGATTCCTAGAATCTGTCTCCCTGAGAGAAGCAAGAAGCGTCTATTGACAGCCTAGTACGGTGAAAGAGAGGAAATCTACCAAAAGTGGATACAAAAATTCAGAAACCATGGCAGTCTAGCCAGAATATTTCCGGAGAGTTCAGCCGTACCTATGTCAGGAGATCCTGAGGGCCTCATCATACTATGGTACAAAAGGTGGTCAGTGCTCATGATGACTTGGGGACACCAAAGAATGGTTACATTCATGTTCTTTCTCTGTTTAAGAAAGAAGCAAAGTGCACAGTGTATTTTGGCAGGCTTTCCATCAGAGAGATTAAAATGTTATCAATTTAAAGGACTGTTTCAATCATTTGGAGAATCGACTTACTTGGAATATCACATTTCCTAACAATGTGAAATAAGTAAGGATCTTCTTATTTATTATAATTGAATCCTCTTTTTTCTGTTAAAAAAAAAAAATAAGCCATGTAAACCATGATGGCATCATACACTCCAGATATCTCAAGAACCTACTGGCCTATGGGTACAAAGGAGGTCAAATTCTCATCCGTAATTCCAGACTTCCTATTCACAGCACCAAGCCCCATCACTGCAGGGCAGCAACACACCCCATTCGAAGTTGTCCTGTCATGTTCTTCTCTGTACGGAACCACCCTGCCAGCCAGAAGAACGTGGCCTCCTAGGGCTGTCACAGTCACAAGCCCCTGAGCGCACCAGCTTCTGGACCCCTGTGATCTCGCCATGCTGGGTGTTCAGCTGACATAGAGAGAGGGCATCTCACTCCACACTCTGTTGAAATCTGTCACCTGGCCCAGAAGCATCTCTGCTTGTGTCCCAAGTGCCACCTAGTACCTTAAGGTCTGGCTGGGGAATAGCCACCGTTCTTAACTCCCTTTCCTTTCTCTTTTGAGGTATCTACCCCAGACCTTCTCAAATGCCTCTCCCTAACATGCGTAGTCACGAATACAAACAGATTCCTGGAGCTGCCAGCTCGTGGGTTCAACAGACACACTTGCCTGGAAGCTGGACCTGGAATTTGGCTAGAGTATCATACCCCATAGTGTGTGTTTGAAATTCTTAAAAAAAAAAAATTATAAAGTAATGTTTTTGTTTTTGTTTTTTAATCATGGAAGCTTTCCCTGAAGCCAAATCTTTCTCAGAAACTCAGCTCCCTTCTTCCCTTTCGCCCTTTCCTGGGAACTGCCACGTTTCTTTAACCCACACAGCAGCATGCCAGGCTGAGGGCAGTCATTTGGTAAAATCTGACCATGACCCCTCTCCCATTATTATCTCTTTCACCAATTGGATTCTCAATTCATTCTTCACTATTTCACTATTCATCACTTCACTAAATACGTTTTAATCACTATTAAAAAATAGCATTTCGCCCTTCTCTAAAAGAGCATGCTCTTGGGCTCCCGCCTTGCCCACTGTCTCTGGCAGTCCCCATTCTGTCTCCACCAGACCGGACTCCGTGCTAGGTCAGGAGTGTGTGCCACGCAGGAACAGAGCTTGCTTGGACGTCATTCTGCGAGGGGAACTGCACGCTCAGTGTGGTCACTGCAGGCACAAGAATCCTGACCCCGTAGAGTTGGAGAACCCATCGTGTGCAGGGATCTCTCTCTAAAAACCCCTACGTTGAGTTTTGTTTCAGGACTTGAGGAAGACAGCCAAATGGATTAAGTGAGAATAATCAAACTCTCATTGTGGCAGAAACTCTGTATAATTTTCTAAACAATTATGCATACTTGTATAAACTGATCAAAAATAATGTTCTATGATTACTATAAAATGATTCTATTGTTAACTCTTTGGGAACTCCTCCTTAATGTGAGTAAAGGAGAATCTTGATCCTATCTATTCTGGTCCATCTGGATCCTCCTTATAGTCTGACAGATCAGTGTTTGGGCTCCTAGAGAGCATATAATAGCTTCTCATTGTAGTTTTAATTTGCATCTCCCTCCTGACAAGGTTGAGTAACTTTTAATATGTTTGTTGGTTATTTTTTGAAATGCCTTTTCAGGACTGTCACTCATTTTACTATTGCATTGTCTTATTGATTCGTAGGAGTGCATTATCTGTGAAACTTTTGTTGGCTAGATGTATTGTAAATATCTCCTCCCATCCTGTGGTTTGCCTTTTCACTCTCTCAATAACGTCTTTTGATGGACAGAAGTTCTTAGTTTTAGTGTAGTCCACTTTGTAATCTTTTCCTTTATGGGTAAGTTAGGGTGACCAATAATCCCAGTTTCCTAAAGGATTTCCTAGGACATGGGCTGTCAATGCTAAAACAAGGAGAGTCCCAGGGACTCCAGACAGGTTGGTCACCTTAGGCTGGTTGGCTCTTGTTATTTTGGGGGAGGGGTCCTGTCATGTCACAAATATATTTTCCAGTGTTATCTTCCAGAAGCTTTATTTTTTTATCTTTCACGTTTACGTCAAACATCTATCTGGAATTGACTTTTTGTGTGTGACATGAGGTAGGGGTCAACATTCCCTTTTTTCCCCGGATGGATGGGTACCAACTGACCCAGCACTATTTATGGAAAACTCCAACCTTTCTCCATCGCTTTGCAGTGACACCTTTGTCATAAGTTACGTGTCATAAATCAGTTGTGCAGCCTTGTGTCTGGACTCTTTATTGCGTTCCATTCATCTATTTGTCGCTGTCTGTGCCATATTACAGTATTCTATTTATTTAGCTTTATAATAGGTCATGATATCCAATAGCATAAAAGTCCTCTGACTTTCTTCTTTTTCCTTTAACTGCCTTGGCTGTTCTTGACCCTTTGCATTTCCATATAAATTTTAGAACCAGATTGCTAATTTCCTGAAAAAAAAAAAAGTGTGTTGCTGGGGCCGGCCGCGTGGCCGAGTGGCTAAGTTCGAGTGCTCTGCTTGGGCAGCCCAGGCTTTCACTGGTTCGGATCCTAGGCACTGACATGGCACCGCTCGTCATGCCACGCTAACGCAGCGTCCCACATGCCACAACTAGAAGGACCCACAACTAAAAATATACAACTATGTACCAGGGGGCTTTGGGGAGAAAATGGAAAAATAAAATCTTAAAAAAAAAAAAAAGTATTGGAATTTTGATTGAGGTTGCATTGAATCTCAAGGTTACTTTTGGGAAATTTGACATCTTTACAAAACTCAATATTCTGGTTCATGAATGGATTATACACCTATATATATTTAGGTCTTTTATTTCTCTCATCTACGTTTAATAACTTCCCCGAATAAGTTTTTTTGTCTTTTTTTGCAGGGAAAGTTTTGCCCTGACTAACGCCTGTTGCCAATCTACCTCTTTTTTTCCCCTGCCCCAAAGCCCCAGTGCATGTTTGTACGTCCTAGGTGTAAGTCGTTCTGGTTCTTCTATGTGAGCCCCTGCCACACTATGGCTACTGACACATGAGTGGTGTGGTTCTGCGACAACGAAATGAACCTGTGCTGCCAAAGTGGTGAGCATCAACTTTAACCACTAGGCCATCAGGGCTGGCTCCTGAGTGAGTTTTTAAATAAACCTAAATTCCAAACCTAATGAATTAGAATCTCTAGGAGGGAGTGGTGGTTATGAATGGGAATAGTTTGGTGCATATTCTCCAGACTCGATTCAATGCTTAAACAAATATAAATGGGTGCATCTGTCAGCAGAGGGGATCTGGTCCTTTGAGATTTCAGTATAATTGCCTTAAGACTCCTAACTCATATTTTGTGCTAACTCCAATGCCTGTCCTTCTACTTCCCTCAATATAATATTGCAAATTCCTGGAAGCTTATGGTCACCTGGTGACTTCTGGCACTGAACCCTGCTCTCCCTGACCTCTGGATCTCACTTTTACCCCACTGCCAGGATCTCTTCTCTTCTTCACAACAACCTAAACAATCCGTGGGCCCCGCGGTAGAAGTTAACCCTTTTTCCTGTTTCCTCTCTTTATCCTGTGTTTCAAGTAACTTCACTCTACACCCCTAGACTCCACTCTGGCCCACCTTTACGTATCCAAAGACACACGTAGGTGCTCTGATAAAACAAAAACCATCCATTCTGAGTCTCACATTTTAGCAACAGAGTGGTGATGATTTAAAATTTCTGTTTCCTTTTTTTCTTTCTCACCACTCCTGCTTCCACAAGTTTCTATAAGTAGAAGGGACTAATTGGAGATAGTTGCTTCCCCATACATAAAAATTATTTTAGAAGTATTCCAGCTTTCAGAAGTGGAGGGCTTCTTATATACATATATACACAACACACACATCTATCTAAATGTGTATATATGTGTGTATATGCATGTATGTGTGTGTATACGTGTATGTGTATACACACACATTTACATTTATTTTTAAACTAGTCTCCATGCTAAATTCAGTTACGGTCATTTTTAAAGCGGTTCTTCTGTGAGTTTCAGGTATGCGGTCATGTTATTTGCCCATAACAATAATTTAGAAAAGACAACAATTAAAGGAAAAAACTTTAGACTTTTAGAAAAGTGGTGAGCACTTTGTGGCTTGTGGGTGGATGCTTCTGACCTTGCATTTTGATCTAATTTCATAAAAAGACAGCAAGAGTTCCCCGCTTTGCTCCTTCCTTACTGGGTCTAGAAATTCATATTTATTGACTACACAGCAGCCCTAATTTTTTCCTGAGTTTATACCATTTTTATGAGGAGAGAAAAAAAACAAAGCCATTTTCATTTTGGAAAAAAAAACGAGAGTGGGGGTTGTAAACTTTTTATTTTATGCTTTTATATTGGTTCTTACATAAAAAGATTGCCTACCGCTGGTTTAGGATTCAGGGGTTAATTATATTCATTTGCATTTTTAAAAACACATTTGTGCCAGAAAATGCTCCAGAATGTCTTCCCTCTGTCCTAGGCAACTCTGCATACTCACAGCCTGGAGCTCTTCTGAAGTCGTTGATCCACAGCAGATCATTGCTTTCGGAGAAGATAAATTTTGCTACCAAAATGGGCCATCACAAAAGCAAGATTTGTGAATCAAGCTACTCTAAATGGATTTTTAACTAAGTTATATATTAGTAATTTCAACCTGCTTTATATACTCATACCCTTAAAATTTCCTTCCAGTGTAATTAAATGACTTTGCACTCCAAATGCAAGGAAAAGTATGTACTGATAATAACGTTGCAAAGGGGAGGTAGAAGGATGAGGAATATGGCGGAGGCAGAAGAAAACTGCTAAGGTTACAGTTTCAAAAGACTTTCTAATCTTTGGGGTGGAAATAGCAGAAGTATCCAGATCTTGAGCATTAGAAGCTTTCTATTTGAGGTGCTCAGAACTCTGACACAGATTACTCTGAAAAGTGTCACATATGCATTCCCACAGGGATTTGTGTAAATCTCATCTACACGATCAAGCACTGTACATGCATAATTTGACAATTTCAAATCTTAGCAAGAGTTAGGAGTACATTATTTTGAGTCATAGCATTTTTCCCTTATTGAATGTCATCCACACAGCATTAGCAGCTTTTGAGTTATGGCTCCCTTGAAATGTTTAAATTGCTTTAAGTAAAAAGAAGTTGCAACACCTCATTTGGTAAAGGAGGCAAACCTCGCTAAGAGAGGGCTTGTCTCCAGCTCTTACCTTTGTTGTAAAGGAAGATGGTGATCCAAGTGCAGGCGCCTATCTCTTGCACTAAAAACATGTTCTTTCTGATGCTTAAGGTTTATCGACCTTTTACTAAGATAGAAAGTAAGTCAAGGGGGCCAGGCCTGTGGCCGAGTGGATAAGTTTGAATGCTCCACTTTGGTGGCCCAGGGTTTCGCCAGTTGAGATCCTGGGCACGGACCTAGTACTGCTCATCAGGCCGTGCTGAGGTGGCATCCCACATGCCACAACTAGAAGGACCCACAACTAGAATATACAACTATGTACTGGGGGGCTTTGGGGAGAAGAAGAAGAAAAAGAAGAAGATTGGCAACAGATGTTAGCTCAGGCGCCAATCTTTAAAAGAAATAAAGTCAAAAGTCCTAACCTGTTTTTCAGCCTCAGAAACTGACATTTATAGATCACAGCTTATGAGTCATGTTTTTTGCTTTTTTTTCTTTTCCCATTCAGGAAGAGTTGCCCTGAGCTAACATCTGCTGCCAATCCTCCTCTTTTTGCATGTGAGCTGTCTCCATAGCATGGCCATTGACAGATGAGTAGTGTAGGTGCGTGCCTGGGAACTGAACTCAGGCCGTGGATGTGGAACACACAGAACTTAACCACCAGGCCACTGTGGCTGGCCCTGATTTTTATTTTATGACTGTTAACTCCTTTAAATTTTTCAACAACCCTAGAGAAAGTTATAGAGCCCACTTCATAGATGAGGAAACTGAGGCTCAGAGAGGTTGAGTGACAGCCCAAGGTTCACACATTAAAAGGTGAAGCCATGCTTCCAGTCCAAGTCAGTGTGTCTCCCCGACAGCTTCCCAGGCAGCCAAGGCGATCCTTGCTCTGTATTTTGAAACTGCTTTCATAGTATATGCTCACTTGAAAAATGCCAGGAGCATTTAGTGTGTGCTGTTAGAATAACAACTGTAGGTATGTTGGCAAGATACAAAGCACCATCAGCACAGAATTTTTCTGAACACAGTCTGCACAGTTTTCTGAAAGAATAGCTACAGTAATAGTAATAACAATAATGACATCTTAAATTTGTGCAACATAGAACAGTTGACAAACACTCTCACTTGTTGTCTGCATATAGTATAGATTATATAGACCTAGACACGTTCATAGATTTCAACTTGAATGCCAATTCCAATGACTGGTAGCAGCTGCCTGGAATTCTATACTGAAAAGAATCCTGAGGATCATTCTAGGATCAGTAGGAATCAGGGCCATGACTGATTCTTCGTGTCTGCCATGGCAAAGGAGTTAGGCGTTACGGCACATTAGTGATATGTTTCCTGTCTCTTATCTATTCTAGTCTACTCTTTCCACAAATGAATAGATGACTTGTCTCTGGTCACGTAAGCAGCTGAGCTGAAACCAAAGCTCATTTTCCTTCAATCCATTGTCATTGTTATTAAACCATGTTATAAGTGGAGACATTTAAATATTTTAATATTCAGGACTGGAATTTATTATAAAGTTTTGAGCTCAGTAACGTTTACTCTAGAACAAAATTAGATGCTTTCTCCAGCAAATGCAAATAAGACTTGCTACAATTTGTGACTCGTTATGTAGGAATGGCTGCAGGCTGGCAAGTGCTGGGTTGGGGGTAGGGGGGCGGTGTACATACTGCAGGTGGGACTAACGTGTGCCAGGCTAGCTTCAGCTGTTACCTAACTGACAATACCTAGAAAGTCCAAGAAACTCAAAACCCTATTCAAAGGCCAAGGACCTTTTGATAATGCCAGGGTAGCCTCAACATGGCTTTGGAGGTCACACCAAGTCTCTAAGCTGACACAGCAATAAGTGTGACCAATCTTTTAGCTCATTTAGAGTCTCCCTCCAGTGTTTGCAAGAAGCACATCCAGTGTCTTGAGAATTTTACTAGTGTAGTGTTAATGCAACTTAGCATAAAAAGGTAAGTGAAGATTAGTAACTATACATATACAAGGAGTGACACAAGATGACCTTTGGGAATGATGGCAAAATCTACCAGGCTATTATGGCTCATTCAGAGTAAAAGTGGTACCGGCTGTAAAACCATTGAGTGCAATGAGACTGGTAAAGAATAGCTATACAGCAGAAAGCCTGTACCGTCCCCAGTGTAGGTCACGGGTTCAGACACGGAGGCCACACTCTCCTCTGTCAGCAGCGTTATCTTTGAATACAAAAGACAAGGAGGGACATATTATGTAGTCAGCTGTGGCCATCAAAGGCCAAACAGCTTTTTCTTCCAGCTGGAGCAACCTGCTTGACTACACAATACCCAAGACCCAGGGCAGTTGAGAGGCAGGACACCCCACCCCTCTGCTTAGTCCCAGCCACCTCTGAGAGAGCAGCCGGGGATTTCTTAGAGCTTTACACTCTGCCTTTGTTGGCTGTTTCCAAGGTGACAAAGTGTTCTGTCCTTTGCTGTAAATAAAGACAGGAGCAAAGGGATCCAGCCCTTTCCTCCTCCTCCTCCATTAGCTTCTGTCTCGTTCAGTTGCATGCTTCTTGTGAGGGTGCGTGTGAAAGCCCTGTTCCCCAGAGTCAGGCCTTCCCAGGGTGTGCATTCGCTTGTTTGTTTTATGTGCATGTGGAGCCTTGCTGTCGGTCAGGGAGCCTTGTACTGGCACTCAAGGGCCTCTGATTCTCCCTCTTCTCACTCCTACCTTACTCCACAATGTCTTCTCATCAGGAGAGGAATAAATTAACATGCTGTTGAAGATTGTAATTTATGTTCCCAATTAGTCATTGAAAGGATTATATTTTCCCAAACTATTGGCATGTGACATGGTTTGGCCAAATGTACTCACAGAGGAAGTGACATATGCCATGTCTGAGCAAAGGGCTAACACATT